CCTCGTCTTCACTCGTGGCTACATGGTCAAACAGCACTCCTGCAGTCTCTACCTCGACGGCCAACACGTGGACACCCAGCGGGTCAGTACTGTCTTTCCTCCGGGTGTGCTATCCTCTCTTTTTTGATAGGCGCGGAATATGCAACCCCATCCAGGCAACCAAAGATAGTTCAGCCTGTCCCTAGGGGACCGGTATTATGGATGGGGCTAAATGAAGGAGAGCAGAGCAGTAACCCTAACTCTCTCTCTATTGGGTTAGCATTCGTTGCCGGATTAGTATAGTCTCACAATAGTTGTTTTGCCCCTTACTTTCTTTACTTGTACATATTGCGATTGCGATCCTGACTGATCTAACCGGCCTCAATGATGTCCCCGATGTCACTTCTCTACGTGTGATGATCCGTGGCAGCAGCCCTACACGGTTCAATCCATTATCTTCGTCAGCGCCGCAGACAGAATACAGAAGGTCCAAGAACCACTTCCATGTGCTGACTCCCTTTTCAATGTCTCCAATTGTGTAACGGTTTCGGGTCGAGGACAGTAACACTGAGGTCGTGAAGTCGACGACGAAGAACGTGTCCTAACCACCTCATTCATCTTTCTTGGATGGCCTGGAATATCCTTGCGATGTTTTCGCAGCGAGTGTAGACTGTCTCATTTGGACGAAGTCGATGCACTTCACTCGTAGGATGATCCTCAAGCAGTAGTGGTGTAATACCCCCAGTTTACATTCATCTTCTACGCGCATGGCCCTGCATGCACAGCCGTACAAAAGAACAGACCGCACAGGTGCATGGTACACGTGAACCTTCGTGGCTATAGAAATATCGCGTCGAGTCCATAATTATTTTCTAAGGCTGGAGAAAACTTGTCGGGCTACGTCGATTTGGGAGACACTGTCGTCTTTTCTCTGTCCATCCGGCAACAACCTCGCTCCGAGGTATTTGAAACCGTCTACTTCTTCAAGTTGACAGCCATTAATCTCGAGAGGCGCCTTCTCTTGGGCAGGGCTGCAGCATGAAAATACCTTGGTCTTCCCAGTATTTATGGATAAACCGACCGATTTAGAGACTTCGTTCACCTATGATACCATAGTCTATAGATCGACAAAGCTTGGTGCCATATTATCGACGTTGTCCAGTTCAGTCAACCAGCGTCCG